AAAATTCATGCTATACGTACAACCAAAAAAAGATTTTGTATTTCCATAAGTGGGGTAAAACTATGGAATAATTTAAGTGTAGACATAAAAACAGTAAGAGAATTGATGAGTTTAAACACAAATATAAAGGTATGTGTCAATCAAGATATGGGCAAGAACAGGCTTAACGATTGTGAGTGTGGTGTTTTAGTATATCACTAGCGTGGTGCAGAACAAAATTATCTATGTAGTAATACTGCTTGCAAACCAATGATGATAAGATGATGTTAGGGGGTAGGACTAGATAAGTCTAACTTCTTCCTACTCCGTTCAAGCATGTACTAGGTATAAGCAAATTGATAATATACTTGTGGATATGTGTGGAATTATGTGCGTTGACATATTGACTGTTGTTACATGTTTGAAAGAATAAATCAAATCAAATCAAGGTTTATAAATATTTGCCAGTCTCCTGTATAAATAGATACAATGCATGCCATTGCACTATTTAAAACAACTGAGAGTAGCAGGATAATTATTCTGCATTGTTTTCAGTAATGAAACAGTGTGTTACTGAAAATGGAAATACTCAGTTCAATCACTGCTAGCCAATAATACCATGTGCCATGAGTTCTCCTAAATGCACTGTGCTATCACACATTTGACTTCACAGAAGTGTGTCTCCTAGAAATGAGCAATATGAGAAGTACTTCATTCATTGTCCAGCCCATGTCAGTTGTAAGCACACCAGTTAAGAAAAACAGCAGGTTTATTGAGTCTTTAAAACAGTATAGCTACAGATGTGTTATGACCTTGCAATGGTAGTACATAGGTGCCTTAAGAAGCAGAAGTGTTTCTAAAATTATTCTGACAAATGACTGACAAACACACACTAGGAGAAAGGTCTTTTGACTTTTCATTCCACCTGACAACAATACCTGCAGATTCATCTGTTCCATTATACAATCATTAAAATGGAATCCAAAATTTTCAATCAATAATCAAGACAAACTCTACAGTTTACAAAGGCTATAACTTCCTACATTTAGGTAAAACTTAGGAACAATGAAATGTTGCACACAAATAAGGTCACTAAATGAGAGAAAATGGAAGTACCGGTATATATGTAGTTTTAGAAACCAAGTCATCAAGCTGATGCGAGAGTAACATGGAGTAGCGACTCTGTCCTGGTATGCTCATCTGGGTTGTTGGTCCTATAGGAAAGCAAGGTGGAGTTTGTCCTTGCATTAACGCATTGTGACAAACTCCTCAGATGAGGTGGGGTGAATGGCAACAGTCTTGTCAAAGTCTGCTTTGGTAGCGCCCATTTTGATGGCCACAGAAAAGCCCTGCAGCATCTCATCGCAGCCCAGGCCCTGCATATGCAGGCCCACCACCTGGCAAAAAGAGACACTATTTGAAAGTCACTGCAGTTGTTGGAGTGCACAAGAGTAAAAAATAAATACACAGTTATGGCCTTGTAAACATTTTAAGCAAACTAATTGTTGTTTTTGTATTGGGATTTAGTGTTTTAAAAAGTTCATGTTTGGTGTTAACACCGTCTCATCTGCTTCTGCTTCAGTAAACTAACATCCTCTATTACCCAGAATGACTTTTGGGAAACTGGAAAGACTGGGTGTGAACCTACTGAGCTTCAAAACATAGTAATAACAGGACAGATATTCCTGGTTAGATACAGGGAAGAGACACACCCTGTGTTCAAAATCAGATGCATTTTGAGAGCAAATTGTATTCTGGACTTCAGAAGTTCCTCTTTCTACAAGTTCCGTGATGGAATCGTCTTTGCATAAGAGCTGATTAGAGTATTGATGCCAAATGGTGAGTCTACAGAAGCAAATCCTGACATCTAGTAGTGGTCTTATCTCAAACTCAGGCTCTTCTTGTCCAGCTGTTTCAGAATGAGAATAAAGTAAAAAAAATAACAAAATGCAGCCAAAAAAAGTTTAACATACTGTATTAACAGCTGTTTTTTGTTTATATATTACATATATCCGCAGTATTAAGATTGTTTAGAGAAGATTTCATTTTTAAGTATCGCAAGTAACTGTTAAACCAGGCTTTTTGGATTTAAAACAGTAACACAGTAGTTTTGATTAGAAGATAATTATAATCAAAATAATTAAAAATCACTGTTTTTAGAAAAATCTAGGCATTTGTGAGAAAAGTAAATCTATTGTTTATGGTTTATCTAAGATCTGATATTAATCCCTTGCATCTTGTAGCAGCGGTCTGGAGACCATATGACTCCTACCTTCTCCTCCTTGCCCACACACACCAGCTTCATGATGCACTGACTCTTCCTGCTTGTGATGGCATGATACAGTGGAGTGAAAGAAGTCTTGTATATCTTCACATTCTCCTTTCCTCTTGATTTAATGGCCTCCTCTGTGACATGAACATGAATGTTAAGGCTATGAGTTATTGTCTACTGAGAACAACTAGGACTAATACAATATTTCCAATAGTATTTATCCAGAGTAAATTAAAGTGAGTGCAACCTATTGTGTAAATGTAAATGGCAACTTTTCAGGGCATTACACAACTACTGGAAAATGTCATAAATCAGAAAAGTTTAATGGGGCGTCTTCACCTTCTGTGAGGCCTACTGTACCAATAGGTGGGTGGCTGAACACCACTGTGGGAATACAGGAGTAGTCCAACTTGGAGTCCTTCTTGCCCTCAAACAGCCTGTGTGCCAGCTTCCTGCCTGCAGCAATAGCAACTGCCCAGAAGTACAGCAAAATATAAGAGCCCATGTCCAAATATCAATGAAGGCTATTTGTTCAGAAAACCAAGTACAGCATAATGTTATTTTTGCAGTGGTTTGCAAAGTAAAAGATGATCTCTTAGCAGTGACAGGTGTCTGCTCTTCATCAAATCGTATTTGGCTGTTATAAAATGTAACAGATGGTTGTCAATACCTGGGGGTTGCACCACACACGTGTAGGAAAATTCTATATTTCGATTCTGATTCAATGGCTACTGCTCACTTTTAGAGGACACTGAAAAAGCCTTGGTAGTGACTGTAACATATTTTTAAGATATAAAGATTTCATTTTAGTGGACCTCAAAGAACAGATTTGAGTTTATCTTGTTGGACCTGATTAACAAGTTGTACATTTTTCTTTGCTGTGTTTTTGTATTTGGTTTGATCAGCATTAAACCCTATAATTACAAGAAAGCCATAGTGTAAACAGACCAGATGTCAGTTTAAAAGTTTAATTGGCCAAGGTCTGTTTCAATGCAGTTTTTTGGAACCAGTGATGTTTAAATGATGTATTTTTCAATTTCACATCTTGCCACTAACAAGCATTAAAGACTTATTTGTTAAAAAAACAGTATCAAAATTTCAAAAGTTCAATTGCAAACAGTTATTAGTACTGCTTCCTACCAGGTGTGAGAAGAGCTTTGCCACAAACATCCCCTACAGCATAGATCCCAGGTCGACTAGTGTTCTGAAACTCATCCACAATGATATGGCCTCTTTCATCTGTAGCCACACCCTGCAAACAGTGAGAAAACAGTTATACACTTATTATAAATTAGCTGCATTAGCATATTTTAGCACTGAGGTACTTCTCTTATTTCTTTAGAAAGATTTGAATTACTTTAAAATGCTATACATTTCTAATGGGTTGCACAACAATTATAAGAAACAATCCTGTATGTTTTGGCTATTTTTTTTTGGTTCCATTATGAGCCACAAGCTGATGAGCTGTTGACTGTGTACACTTGTAACAGAAATTTTAAGTATGAAGTGAACAACTAAGCAGAAAAGGGTTGCTTTCTGTCCATAGCAAGAAATAGTCATTCCAATGTGGAGGCTCAAAATGTAAACCAGATTACACAGAGCAGAGCAAGCGCGACATGTGATTATGTTTAACGTGGTCAATGTATATGTCAACAATAAGCAGTCTCTGGAAAGCTTCTCAAACTGTGCATGAATACCACAAAGGTCATTAAACATGTCAACAACAGGTCAGAAAACATCTTTCATACTTCCTGTAGAGTGATGCTTTCTAAAACAAACAAACAAAAAAAAAACAACCAGTTAGTAGGAGGTTAGGTTTTTGGTTCTGTGTGTGTCTGTGTGTGTCTGTGTGTGTCTCTGTGTGTCGTTAGCAGGAACACAGACAAATGGCTAGATGGATCATCAGCATACTTGGTACAGACATTGGTGGGGAACAACCCTAGAGGTGATCAGCCATCAAAATAATGGAGAAAAAAAAAAAAATCACAAGAATCCCTGCCTTCAACATGGGGTACAAATTTAAAAAATTCACATCTCCATCAAAAGTTATCAAAATCATTTTAAATTTGACACAGATATGTAGGATGGCAAATTTCCCCCAGATCTGACAAACATTGAAAACCCCATTTAACACATATTTTCTGCCATAACTTGGCCTGTAATGATGATGGAACCCTGAAATCACAGTATAATTGCCTTTTATACTCTAAAAGATGATCTGGATTTTAGGGCACATTTTGTGTTTTTCTGGATCTCATTTCCTCACAAGGGACCCATTTGCGTGAGTGAATGCTGTGCCTTGGCGGAGGTACATGTGCTCAATGCATTCACTCTTGTTAATTGATCCTGCGGGTGTTACTGTTTTCAATTACTTTCTCTGTCTATGGACATATGTCTATGTTTACTGTAAGTGAGCTTAGATGTTACATGTTGTTACCTCTGCCCATTTCAGCATCCAGTTTACAGTAAATATCATGAGGTGAAGTTTCATGAGCAGCAGACTGTTACCATCTTGCCAATGTTCAATCCAGAGGTGTTTGGCTGTCTGCCGATGGCCCAGAGAAGACAGTCCACTTCCTGAATGGTGCTGATCTTCTCCATGTTGTCCTTCTTCTCTGGGTCTCTGGTGACAAGTGTCACCTCCAGACCCCTGTCTGTTTTGCACACAGACTTCACCTGAGAGTACTTCCACAAATCTACACCACAGTTTTGAATTTCTTTGGTGCAGTTTGTGCTTATGAGGCTGTCGAAGTTCCTCAAAACCTACAGAAAAAATAAAGAGGGTGATACTGTAGACCCAGCCAATATTTAGTTTGTGCTGTGATTTTGTGTTTCTTACTCCTGACTGTCGAATAATGAGGGATGTTTTGCAGCCCAGGGTCGAAAGGATGCCTGCCATCTCCACAGCAATATAGCCAGCACCCACAATCACACTACGCCTGTTAGGAAAACCACACTTTAATGGCCCAAACAAACTTTCCTACTGGTATCCAATAAACACAACAGAGATTATATGATAAGCTTACTTTGGCAGGGTTTCAAGTTCAAAGAAGCCATCACTGGTAATGCCGAGACTTGCCCCTGAAAAGAACAATAAACAATATCTTTGCACAATTTTACAAAGGTATCCTTATTTGATAAATAATATTATTAATATAATAAATGGCTTAGGACCACAATGTAAACACAAAGATAATTATCATTCCTGGAGAAAATCAAGTACAAAACATATTACCTGGAACTTCAGCATCACTCACAACAGAAGGGTGACCTCCAGTAGCAATAAGGATGTGAGGTGCTGTGTACTTTCTTCCACTGACCTCAACAGTAGGCTCAGGGCCATCTGTGAACCTGGCATAACCTTCAATAGTTTGGATTTTATCCTGTAAGGGAGCAGATATCATTCTATGACCTGCAAATGTGATCAGCAAGAACTATTCAACATTTGAAAGTAAGAGATTAATTACAGTATGTTGAATCGAATGCTAATCCAGTAAAGATGCTTAAAGACATTTGAACAGACTAAAGTAAACATACAGGGGAAAAACACAAGACATACTCAAATAATGATGAGGATAATTTGAATTACCTTGTCAAGATTGTTGCGATAAATGCGATTTAGGCGACTCACAAAAGCATCCCTTTTAGCCTTCAGAGTTCTGGAAACAAACAAGGGAAAGATTAGGGTTTTTGTTCATGTTTACTCAAGATTTGCCCCTGAAATGCATCCAATGGGCCAACAACATGCACATGAACACACTGATCCCAGCAGTAGTTTAGATTTTTCAGTAAACAAGCGCAGCCAACTTGCATACTTCACTAGACAGTTTCAGCCTGGGTATACTTTAGACACAGTAGGGTCACATACTGTATGTTATGCAGGGACCTCCCATACATAAGAGGGAGACGTTTACATTGTCAGGTTTCCTAACCACAGTTTCCTGTCTACTCTAGGGATTAAAACTTGCAACTATCCATAACATTTTTATAGCCTTTTTAAAATAGTACTATGATTTTCAATTTATTAAAGCTGCCTACTGTAATCTTACTTATATTATAGTGCAAGTCCTGCTGCAACATGCAGTGGATGGACAGAATAACAGGAACACTTCATGATATAACAATCCTACACAATAACAAGCACTATGAAATGAAAATTCCTATATAGAGTTTTAATTCACACCACTTTTGACATACCAAGAAAAGGTGAAGAACATAAGCGTCACACAGACGGTAACGGCAGAGCTGTTATATTACATTAGATTGTACACATGCTGAGTAGGAAACTCAGCATGTGTACAATTTTTGGACTGAAGACACACACAATCTGGATGTATGCAGACAGTTATTAGTTACTCCTTTACATATATCCAAACAGGCCCAAGCTTGTGGTGTGTTAGTGTTTTGTATCCCAGACTAATGTGTCCTAACATTGCAGGCCATCACTCCTTCCAGAGGCTTATCTTCAACAAGCACCTTGACGAAACTGTGCTGTTCACAAAGATAGAGAAGTGAGCCTAAGTGAAGCAATGAAAGACACAACAGACTGACAAGCTGTACTGTAAAACGACACCACTTTGTTCCTGGAACAACCATCACAGGTTTCAAAAGAACTTGTTGTGGTTGCACAAAAAGGGCAAAAAAGACACTAACAGATAGTGTGACTTACTCCCAACTGAACTGAACATTTCCGACGTCAAAGCCGTAATCACTGTGATCATGGAGGTACTCAGCATGAACAGCAGCATTCCACATAACCTGTGCAGAAAGATAAAGGCACTGGATTTAACACCCGGTGAACTAATTTGCAAATTATTATCTCTAAGATAAACCAGGTGTATTACAACATGACTAAAAAGAAATGTATACCTTTTTGGGGACACATCCAACATTGACCTGAAAAACATTGAAACGGAGCAAATTTACTCAAGTTTGATCAAAAAGCATCCAAGCACATGATAAGTTATAAGTGAAACATCTTAGACAAACACTAGAGTACATTGCACTGCAATGCCTGTAGTTGAGTTAAATGTGATAAACTACCACCCAGACTCAGTTTGCACCAGTAAACAAACAACCACATCTATTTTCTATATGGTGAATGGATGCACAATCCGAGGTAAAATGATCAAAAACTGTGTTGCACCGTCTAAAAAAGTTTTCAGATTTGGAAAGCTTCAATGACTCATTCCATTATCTTTTGATCATAATTTTCCGGAAATCACTGAGTTAACAACAGAATTTTAAAAGCAATAACACAATATGAACATAGGACTGTGATATTATACCACTGAAAGACCACGGAACACTGGACCAGCTCTATACCCTCTTCAGGGTGGTGGAGGGCTCATGGGAGTTTGCCAATATAGTTAATAACCAGTCCACATGTGTTTTGTGGATTTGGAGATTCGATCGTGTCCCTCATGCCACCCTGTGGGGGGTGCTCCAGGAGTATGGGGTCCTGGGCCCTCTATTGAGGGCCGTCCGGTCCCTGTACGACTGGAGCAGGAGCTTGGTTCGCATTGC